TCGAAATGCCTTTCAAGTAATTGACTAAAGAACATGGACTCTAAAACCAGTTCTATATTTAGATTACCCTCATCTCAATAAAATCAATTTTTTATTTGAACAAAATTTAACTTTAACCCAAAGCGTTTTTTGGGGGAAAAACAATAACAACCCTCTCATGTGTAAAACCGGAGTATATTATTTCTGGCAATGCGGTGCATCACCCCGTAAATAATTCATTCCACCCACCCTTGTGTACAGTTCGTTTTAGAAAAAGATGCCTCATGAAATCACCATGCTGTACTTTCCGGGTGCTAGCCCCTAACTAAACTAATTAACTCGTCCGGAGTCGGAAATAGGCAAAGCCCCGGATGCTTTGAATTAATTACTCCAATTGTGCGATTTTCCAACCATCATTAACGCCCGAAAGCGTCCATATTCTACCGATTAGTGATAAAAAATTCAGAGCAAGATGTTTTTGGATCAAAGTCGGCCTTTGTAAGCACGCATTGCGTGGCCCTTTGTGAGAGAATCCGGGGTCATAATATCCGGAGCTCCAGCGTTCGATCATCCCGTGAATTTTCAATAAATTTAGAAAACTGAGTAATTTTCTCCGATGTTATTTCGTGTTTGCTTCGGGAATCGTAAATAATTTAGCGTCTTGTGGTATGAAAATAGAAATTTTTCCGTCTGCTTTCATTAATCTTGTTTTTATCGAGCAGAGTCTTATGTTCGTGATTGACACTGTTGTTCTTTTTGTTACTTGGACTATTGTGAGGATTCGGCTTTATTAAAGTTGGATGTGTGGAGGGTTGGAGATTCTTCATTACCTTGTCTGCAATTTTCGGACGCATTTATCTTTATTTCATTTGGCAGGTGGATTTTTTCCGTGGTTTGTTACGTTCTAGTTACAAGAAAATTGGCTGATTGGAATTTGTGAATGTGAAAGAATAAGAAATCTAAAAAAACGAACAAAAGAAATTGCGAATTTATGAATTAAAAACTCAAAAATCTTTCTTAAATTGTAGGTATTTTTATTTTGGGAACGGAGGATCAAAATTGCAGATTTTTAAATAAATTTTAATATTTTGTTGAGGCAATAGTAATTTAAGTAAGGAAAATGCTAACCTTTATTGCTTTCCTTCCATATTTTTTTTTTAATTTTTTCATAATTTTATGTTACTTTTGTGGTAGTAATAAATAAATGTCACTTTTATCTTGAAGTTTCTTATTTATTTCTTTTGAATTTGGGTTTTTATATTTATTATGGATGTTAAATTATAATAACTTAGGTAAGTGATATTTTAATAGCTTATTATTTGTAATTTATTGATTTTCTAATAGACATATTGAAGAACGCGAGATGTCTTAATAGCTTAATAGTTAAAAGGCGACTAGATCAAATTTTGACTTTTTAAAATAAAAAAATTGTTTAAAAACGGCATTTCGAAAAAATAGTAAAAAAAACTCGTTCCATAAGACCTTGAAGCACTCATTCTTTAAATAACTCGAGGCTACGCCACTCGTTTTTTAACCTTGACTTCGTGCTTCAAAACTGGTTTTATGAAACTTGGTTTTTAACATAAGTATGACATACTTACTATTTGGAATTTTGGAATTTTCAAATACATAAATAAAACGAATTTAATACAGAAAGCTTAGAGATTTAAAATTTTAATTCTAGTAGACTATATTTTTAGTTTATAAATAGAAAATTTCCCGTTTTTGTTCTACAAAAACAATTTGAACGTCAATATTACTTAAAATTCGAAATTTGTTACTTAATGAAAGAGATGTGTTATTATTATTTTTCAGTAAAATGCTTGTTTGAAAACTTAAGCAAAACGAAAGTTCCATTTTAATCTTAAAATTGTGGATTACAAATGAAAATTTAAGGTTTTTTGGGCGAAATATGATAGAATAAGTGTCGAAGTTGTGATAAAATGTTGTGATTTTTAGTTTAAAATTTCTAGTTTGAAAACAAAACTAATTAGTCGTTAGAATTTTAAGTTTATAAAAATTGTGGATTTTAATTCTACTAGCCCATATTTTGAAATTAAAAGAATGTTAATTAGGTGATGGTGAATTTCGAATTTTGTCTCCCAAATTCAGAGTTTTACTTTTATTACAAAGATTGTAAGCTATTTTGATTCTGCTGGACCATATTTTGAGTTTGAAAAAAGAAATTTTCATTTCTTTGAAAGGTTCCCACCTAAGTAAAACTTTGAATTTGTGAGTCAAAATTATTTAGAAAAAATCGAAATTTATTATCACTTAATCAAGTAAGTTCATTGTTTCTCTAGTACATTTAGTAAAAATGTTTACAAGTTTAAGTAAAACAGAAATTCTGATTTGTAAGTGAAAAAAGCGAAAAAAGTTTTTAGTGGAAGTTTTAAATTTAAGTATCGACCTTTTCAAAAATCAAAGTCCGAATTTTCATGTCAACGTTTTTATTTTCTAAATTTTCTTTTACTTCTATGTGTATTATGTGTAAATACACATTTAGTGATAAGCGGGTTATTATTTTTTTTATGAAAACAAAGTTATTTAGACCTTGAAGCGATAATAACATTTTTATTGTTATATTTTTGCAATGTAGTAGAACCACTTTGATTTTACTGATAAATTTTATCTACTAAAAAAATAGTTTTTGTTCAATTTCCATTGGTCCAAGTTATGTCATTTCGTACCTACTTGCCGATGCCATTATTAATTAATATCACGGGATCTGCTAAACAATCGAGCGTAAGCAGCTAATCGCGTTTAATTAATTAAACGCTAGTGAATAAATTCGTCTCTCACGGTATAATACGTTTAGACAAGTAAATGGCAGATCCAATTATCCCCAGTCTTTGATTATGCATTATCACGAAAACAGATCGATTGACGTATTTTTCAAATTAAAGTAAATTTTTCGGACGAAATTAGACCACAAACCGATCAATAAACACCTGTGACCCCTAATCCACTGAATTATAAATGCGTGACGAAATGCGAATTTTATAATCACCATCCCCGAAAGCGCATTTTTGGTCCATCGACCCGAAATATATCTTTTTTTGATTAATTAAGGTCAAAGATCTGGACTTCCGAGGGCCCAAAAGGTCTAATAAACCCACTTGTGGTTACTCGATTAAGTAAAGCACATAATTAATTTCACTGGGGATCGAAAGAGGCTTACTGATTCAATTACAGGTTCGGAATCAAATATTTCCGATTCCGACGCCGGGCACGACTTGTGTTTATTTTTCATTAAATACAAGTCTCGGGACTTGATTTGAACATAATTGCAAAAACAAGACAAGGGACTTTTATTTTTTTGCCAATTTTAGTGTTATTACACCATTTACAAAGTTTAACATTCAACTCAATTGAGGCTCTTTTGTCTCGCATCTTAGTTTCTGTAATTGGTTGCGCTCTGTTACCATTATATCGATCAATTTGATTCAATTAAGACAAATAATGCATCATCGTTAGGCAACCAACAATACATTCTTTTGCGTTATAAACGCCAATACATGGCAAAAAGTGTAGAGAAATGAAAATGAAGCTTGTCGCTGCCAAAAAATATCAATCAACGTTTTAAACCCGAACTTTTTCCACTTGCTTCCTGTCTTGGGGTATTTCCTTCAGTGAGCTTTTTCAGAGCTTTTAGAGCAAGTTTCTTTCAATCGCGAATCTTCGATCGGATGATTCTTAAAACTTCATGTTTGTGACATCTCGAGTAAAAAGTGTTCCGGTTGGAAAATATTCGAGATGGGTTTTAGTGCGTCTAGTCTAATTAAGCCCGTTAAGCATGCGTTAAAACAGTCTTTAAACCGGGAATACACAGCACGTCAAGATAGATTGCTTCGGATTCAATCGATGATGAGACAAATTGGGCGCGGAAAATATTGACAAGGTAAACGCTATCTTGAGAATTATTGCCTCGTTGTGATTTATGGAGAGTGTGGGGAGGCTCCAGCGCGGGCATTGTATTACAAAAACCAAAAAAAGAAGTGCAACCATTTATACAAATTTAAGCATTGTTAAAAAAGAAATTTAAAGGCATAGACTCTGAGTTTGCCTATTATTATATTGACTGTGACATCGTGACTCTTTTTAAAAAAGGTTTATTAATTTATTTATTCCCCCCCCACGTTGGTATAAAAATTGCTTCTGGTAAGGGTACACTTTTCAGTTCTTTAAAAATAAACTATTTACGCAGATTCCCATCTGAAAGCTTATTTAGATTTGCTTTCAAGTGGCAATAAAAATGTCACTAGAAAATCTGAAATCCGCTATGAATAGACGATGAGTACGTATCCAATATATCCCCGCTAAATTTGACTGCAACCAGTAATGCACCTTCGAATTTCCAGTCACGTTGCCTTTGAAGCATACTATACATACATAAAAGATCATGAAAGCACTCTCCTTTTATATATGTTGATTTAATTTTCTTTTAACAGAGAAAGTTACGATCAATAGCAGCTTCGACTTGACATTAGAGCACAAAAAGTGCAATTTCTTGTGTGAGTTGTAATCCTTGTACCCGGAATAAATTAAGTCCGGTTTACAGCCTCGCCTCCGGCCAAATAAAACTTAACTTAATTGCCGGAGTTTCAAGTCGGAAACCTTTTTGTTTTATCGACTGCGACACGAATTCGATTTTCCTTTTTCGAAAATAGCAACGCCATATTGAGTTTTCTAAGTCGATTGAAAATTCGAACTTGGGTCCGGTGTTTCAGAATTGACACCGGGGAGAATGGAACTTGAACGGAGGAGGGATCCATTGTGCGTTTCTTTACCTTACTTTCAGTGAAAATGACACCCACTTCAATCGCTGAAATGGGTGGATTCCCTGCCACTGTGGCATTGCGAATTAAAGAAAGCCGAGATAAATTGCATTCCAGTGTTCTCTTTGTTCGAAACTTCTACTTTTAACATTAAATTTGGTATAATTAAAGAATAATATTTACAATGCCTGTGATTGTGTATGCAACCAGTTATACATTTTTTTAAACTCAATTTGTTTTCAGGGAATTTGCGGAACAAATATGCCCTTGCGCCCGGCCACTCCCTCATGGATTGGATCCGGTTGGGCTCCTCCGGGCGAGACCTCACCGGAGTGGGTGCTCAGGCCGGCAACCTTTCGGTAAACCCCCAAGTTGATTAAAACCCTTAATGAAATTTATCGTAGGTGACACCTAGCGAGCTCGCCCTGCATAACAAGGAGTCGGACGCCTGGTTATGCATCCGGGGGCGGGTGTACAACGTCACCGCATACCTGCCATTCCACCCCGGGGGCCCCGAGCAGCTCATGAAAGGCGCCGGCAAGGACGCAACGAGACTGTTCGAGGATGTCCATCCGTGGGTCAACTTCGACCAAATTCTCACCAAGTGTTACATCGGACAACTGAAAGCACACGCGGAATTTGAGCCGGAAGAGGTGTTCAAGAGTGAGAAAGAAGGGAAAAATGTAAACGCACCAAACGATGAGACTGTCACAAATGCCACAAGGGAACCAATTTTGTTACCGAGATTCGACTGGATCCAAAAATCGGATCACATTACGATTATTTTTTATACGGGGAATTTTTCGAATCCGATGCTTGAGACGAATCAGAGTGACGATAACACACACAATATTTTTTTAACTTACAATAACACGATTTTCGAGAATGAGATTATTTTCGCTGACAAGGTGCATTGGCCGGGACGGATTAAAGTCACGTGCGAAACGGGGAAAGTCGAGTTGGGGTACAAGAAGTGCCAAGGGGGGGTTTGGGACAATTTTGGGGTGCTCAAACAAAAGGCGAGAGCTTGCACCAACTCGCTAGTGGAAGCGAAAGTAAAATGCAAAGTAATTAACAAAATCAAGGTGAATTACAACACGGTTCTTATCGAATTGGAGAGAAATGATAACACCAAAAGTGTCGTCCCGCTTGGGAAACACATCAAGGTTTTTGATACAATCAAAGGGGAGGAAATCGTCCGGAGTTATACTCCCGTCCCCATCTGCCTTTTCAGCAAATTCCGCCAACAGAGTTCCACCACGGACAGTATTTGCCTCATGGTGAAACGCTACCCCGAGGGAAATCTTAGCAAAATACTTGGAGACTGCTTAACTGGCGACACTGTTACAATCTCCAAGCCTTTAGGGTCTTTCAATCTGCAAGAAATCGAAAAACGCGAGACTTTCATTATCCTGGCGGCTGGGACCGGAATCACGCCCATGTTTGCCATCATTTTGTTCCTTCTAGAGCGAAGAATAAGGAAGTGGTAAGCGGGCATTGACCCCCGGTATAATCTTTTTCATTTTATTGTGCATCAAGTAGGTTGTAGAAGTCACACAAAAAGTGTCATTAATGTCATTCAGACCTTTAAGTTTGCTACTCTGTGTTAATTTTCATTATTTTTTACTACCAGGGTTACACATTTATTTAAAAATAATAATTTTTAGGGAAGATTGGGGTTAGGATTGTTTGAATTTTCACAACGACTACTTCGATGCACATTAATATGAAAACGAGAATACCAACCTTGCAACAATAATGGCACTAGATTATTTCAGTCAGCGTTTAAGGCTACTGTTTTTCAACCGCACCCCCGACGACATTCCCTTCCGAAGCCAGTTCGAGGAGCTCCAGAAGGAGGAGCCCCGTTTCAAGATTTTCCACGTCTTATCGCAGGCTGATAACTCGTGGACGGGGCTCCGGGGGCACATCAGCCGGTCAATCCTCGAGGAAACAATCGCCGATCATTTGAAAGAAACCACTTATGTTAAAAACGATATTTACTTTATGGTCTGCGGCCCCACGATTTTTACAACTTTGACGCAACAGTTGTTCAAAGATTTGCAATTTAAAGACGAACAAATACACTTTTTCTTAGGATAGCAGGCCGTCGATCAGTTCATCTTGAGCATTTTTCAGTTAATAGGAGCGAAAAGAGCAATAATCCAGTCCTAGAACGCACGCGCTAAGTGAACAAACACAGCCTGGGTAGAGGTTTTTTCTGTGTTTCTCTTGTGATAGAGCGCTTTATGTGAATTGTACATATTTATAAGTAAAAGAATATTTTTCAAACTAGACTTTTAGTCCCTTAAAGTCCCTCCCGAGTAAGAAAATTTCGGCGGAATCTGACCGACTCGAATTAGGTTTTACAAATTTAACACTATCATAGAATTTCCGCAAGTCATTTTCTAATTGTTTCGCTTGCCCACACTGCCACAATTTCACCACGACACTAGCCCCAACTTGAGAATTTTGCACAGCAAACCTCAGGACACTATAACACAGCCGAATTATATTCTCATTGTCCAAGTCCTTAACACCGGTTGCGTTGGGGGCCATATCCGAAATAACAGCATCAGCTTTCCTCCCTCTGAGCGTCTCAATTAACACATCTTGCGATTTCGGGTCAGTAAAGTCCATATTCCCCAAAATCGTAGCCCCCTGGAAGCAAAAATCAATGCATGAAACGCCATCCACAAACTCACATTAATTGCGAAAACTTGTTGCTTGTCAATTGAGATAACCACTCCTTGGGCTTGTTTAGGGTCAAACCCGTCGGAATTCACCCTCTTGACGGCCAGTTGCGACCACGAGCCGGGCGCAGCCCCGCAATCAATAACGACAAATCCGGGCCGCAAAATTTTGAATCTGTCGTCGATTTCGAGCAATTTGAAGGCGCTGCGACACCTTGAAGTGAATAATTAGTTGAAATGGGGGGCAGTTAAGGGGTGGGTACCTGTAATTCATCATTTTTGCCTTCTCTACGTAGGGGTCTGCGAGTTGGCGAGAGAGCCACTCGTGTGAGCTCGTACCCTTCACATTTTTCAATTTAACTGACTTTAGGTGTCTCATCGTTGTACTAAAATTCCTCCAAAACTGGAGCAAAACCATCTTGTTCGATTATTTAGAGTTTTAAGAGTAAATTGCACGAAATGAGGTTATGTTTACTTGTTTTAAGTTGGCGGTCTGGATGTTTAGAAATTACCCTAGATTCGGTATTTTACCGATTATTTTTATCGCTTACGATAGTTTTATCGCTTTATTATTCTAGTTTTGAGTGTGTTTTTTTGTCTAACTACCTAATCAGGTAACTAATTGTTAATTAAAGTCAAAATTTTGGCTCAAACTAATCGAACAATCTCAAGAAAAGTTTCTTCTGATTGGCGACACTGTCTCAAATTTAAATTTTTGCTCTATTTCACAATGTTAATTCCTGTTTAATTCATTTCGTTTCCTGGAATTGTACATTCATTTTGTACAATTTTTGTGCTTCTAATTTAATTCTGATAAAGATGTTTGTACTACTAGCTTCATATTAAACATACATCGTGTCTAAAATAGGCCCTAAACTAGTTCATTATTCAACAATTTTGTGTATTGTGGGTTGTGAACATTATTATGGTTGAAGAAACAAATGTGCTAATAGTGAAAAAATTATGAGTATAAACCACGTGTTTTGATTATAATTCAGCTTAGCTATAAAATTTGTTTTTTATTTCTTGGTATATAATTAGGTACTATTACAAAATTGACAACATTAAAATTGTTAAAAAGCTTATAATTATGTCCAAATTCGGGTTTTTAACGCATTTTTTTTCGCAAAATTTTGTCGTAGAAAGCCGAAATTTCGAATATGTAATTGCTTTTTCTGAGCTTTAAAAAAATTGAGGCATTTAAGCTCATTTTTGGCTCAGTTTTATTTAACAGTTAACCGAAATGCAAATATTTCCCTAAGTTACATAAAAAATAAGCCAAAAATCAATAAATTAGGTTAGAAATGTTGCTGGTTTTCCTTTTTTGAGCAATTAAACTCCTTTTTGACCTAGATAAAATCACTTTTATTTGCGTGTTTTTTAACGGTTCAAAAAATCGTCAAATTATGTCTAAAATGACATTGTTGCAAAAGTGCAAATATTTCACGAAATTATATCAACAATATGCCAAAAATCAACAAATTATACAAATTATAAAATTTTGCTAAATACTTAACATTGAACAGAGTTACAATTTAGGCTACAGCTTCCTTGTTTCCTGTTTTAATAGCCTATAGCAAAAAAACTTGGAAAATTATTTTTCCAACAGAAATAAATAGAGTCAAAGTGCAAACTTTAAAGTTTAAACTCTCATAACTTCGAAATTTTTATATATAATTTTTTTTTAACATTTTTTCCATGTTCCTGGTATCTTACTTTATATGGCATTTTCCTCTGGGGCGCGAGTTCTGTTGCACCCTGTATTATAAGTGTTACTACTTTTTTCTTTTCTGAGCATTTAAGCTCATTTTTGACCTAAAAACTCAGTTTTATTTGCAAGTTTTTTTAAACAGTTGAAAAAGTAGCCAGATTAGTACTAAAACGTCATTGTTTTTGTTTTTTTTTTGGAACGTTTAGCACGGTTTTTCAGCCAAAAATGCAAATATTTTGCACAATTAAGGAGAAATAAACAGAAAATCAACTAATTCGATCTTCTTTGAACATTTAAACTCATTTCTGACTTAAAGAATCGATTTTATTGACGGAAATTAAAAAAATAAGTTTAAACTAGCAAATAGTTTTTGCTTTTGTGAAACTTCTAGCACATGTTTCAGCCAAGTTTTGCCAAAAATAAGCCGAAAAACCAACAAATAAGAACAAAAATTAATTTAAAAGAAATCTGATTAGCTTAGTTAACTCTAAATTCTAGTTTTCACATACAAGTAAATCTTTGTAAACGGTACCTACCCAAGTATTACAAATCAATCTCGAGTTGTTTATTCATATACAGAGTGATCGTTCAAAGTAGCGCTTGGCAGGCCTGCAAACGATGGTTCGTTTATGTTACATTTGAAATGACGTAAGCAGTAATTGTATTTTTAGTGTTTTGTAATGATTTGCTTGTCGAAACATTTTGGAGAATGACGTCAAAAAAAACATTGATTATATCACGGAAGTTGTCGGTGTTATTAGGTGTACTTTGTTTATACGTACGTGATTCAAAATGGAGGTCGAATCGAACTAGTTTTGATACCTATATATAGCGTTTAAAGGTTACGAGGTGCAAGTCCTTGATAAAGGTGCAAAAAATTGAGTAGTCTGCTTGTAAATTTATTTGTATACTGGCACAAGAACATAACATGGAATATTCTGATAATAAATACCTTTCAACTTAATCTAACTTTACATTTGTACCTAAGAGTCGAACAAAAGGTTAATCAGTCTAGTGTTTTTGTGGGTTTGATATCGAAAAACAATACGGGAAATACGTTACATTTGCACGATTAACCTAGTCCTACAACAGTAAATTAAAAATACAGTTGATAAGATTAGTAAATCGGAGTGTGTAATACTGTGGTCAAGCTCACTCCTCGCGTTAGTAAAATAAATAATATATACAAGAAACGACAAATTAAAACATTTGCACTTCCATATACACATTATGTACAATAAATACCGTAGTTAAAGACTAAAAGAATCACAATGAAGCTAGCGATTTGGTTTGAACCCTGGTACACCCTAGACTAGGACCATCAACCTCGTTTCGTCGATGGGTAGGGTGTGACGCGATTTCTGGGCGTGTTCTTTTATTGTCTTACTGTTTGTTTGTACGTGATTTGGTTTAGTAGCAGTTCACTCTAAGTCGCAACTTAGAGCCTCACAGTCCTTAAATCCTCCTCCAGAAAAGGGCCTCGCCTTCGAGGAGCGTCGTTGTCTCCTCACCACTCCCTGTAGTGGTTGTGGGAGTGCTACTCTCCGTGGTGGTCTCAGTCGTAGCCTCAAAAGTCGTGCTTTCCATGATCGTGGTGGCAAAATCCGCGATTGTCGTCATTTCGACCTCCTCGGGCTTGACCCCCAAAATCGCAGCAACATCCTCGACCCCAAACTTATCACTTCCGTTCCTCTTGACGTCCACTTTAACACTCGTGGTGGTCTCGTGGTGGCTCTTCTTGGAGGGGGTGACCACGATGGCCACATCCGAGTCCTTCTCCTCGTCCCCCAATAGAGGGATGTTGAGTTGGAGGGGTCCATGAGTGGAGTTGTCCTCAAACACTTCCTCATAGTCGGGGAATTGCGCGTTGAGCTTCTGGAGGAGGAAATCGAAATGCACCGATTCGTTGATTTTGATGATTTTCACGCAGCGCCCCATCATGTCCGACTTGTAGCCCTCGGCGCAGGCGGGGAGCGAGTCGGGGCTGAACGTGGGGGCTATGAAGACCGATTTCGGGGTGATTCTTCGTCGTAGTAGCCCCAAATCGCTCTGGCGGTTGCTTTGGTCGACCAGCAACCATGCCTCCCAAGCCAGCTCTGTCGAGCGCTCGTTTAGGGGCTTCGAGGGGTAGCAGAAGGAGAGACAGACACAAGATGCGATGGAGATTAACACGGTCATGCATGCGGGTTTCATGGTGATGGGGTTCAAGTCATCTTCGGACTGGCTAAGTGTTGCGACTGAGGCGGCACATCATGATCGAATCTGCAAAAATAAGAATTGTAAAAATAAACAACCACTATTGTGAGGGAGGAGGAGGTTTCCTTTGGATGGGTGCCAAAGTGACGAATACTACGCAGGAGAAGTGAATGGTAATTACCAATTAACAACTTGGGACGATGCCAAATTGATATTATAGACAAACTGTCTGCTGGATCGAGGGGTTTGGCTAATTATACTCGTTTAGAGGTTTTGAATGAAGCAAGGAAAGCTTGTAGCTTCTGAAATATTAAAAGTGTACACATGATTGTAATAATACTTATACTAAAAATTGTTAATGTTCACAATAAAGGAATTTCAGGAACTGTAAAATTTTAGTTTCTTTTAAATCCGTTTTAAATCTGAAATTTTAAAATTAAAAATATGTAAATAAAAAAATGTTTTCTTGTATATAATAACTAATATGAGATCGGTGGGTGGTCAATATAGGAAAAAAAAATTTTTTTTTAAATGGAAACTAATCAAGACTAATTCAATATGCACAACAATTAACATGAGAATTTGTCTCCACAAACCGTTTTGACCTAAAACTCATAGTTTTCAAATTTTGATTTTTTTAATGTAAAAATTTCGATAAAAATAAAAATAGCCCATCAGCCAAAACTGTAACCAAAAGGAACTACGAGTATACGGGTTTAGAGTAGTTTTTGATGTTTTTTGCTTTTTGCCTTAGTAAGTGTTGTAGTAGAGAAAAACACATTCTGTCGATTTTTACTTTTAACACGCCGATTACGGCGAAATTAGAGGAGCTAAAGCAAAAAACTTGTCAGATTCATAATCATCTCGTCAATATAGCATAAATTTCTATCGAATTTATGACATGTTCGAAAATGGGGAAATGTTTTCTTTTTTTATTTTGTAAATTTCGCTCAAAGTACCTGCAGTGAAAATGGATAGTTTTTTAAACTATACGTTTGCAAAATGTTCCGGGAAATCCCCAAAATCGACTGACATCGATAATAGTTTAGAACTTCTTGTTGGATCTTCTTGGTATGGGAATGATGAAATTTAGAAGTTATAGTCGAATATAGAAATAGACAGTATGTCCCCGGATTGAGTTTACAAGAGGATTTTTTTTTGATTTTACGCCAAAACTGCAAAGGAAAAATGTTTTGCTTCACCTGAAACGAGCAAATCTGTAATTAAAACTTCATTATTCTGATTCAGTAAAAAGAAAAGTTCATTTTTTTCTTGGTTTTGGAATAATTTTTCTCGCTGTTTAAGTCCTATCACATTGGCGCTTTTATTTATTTGACAACTATATGTCATTTTGACAATTAATTTATTAATTAAATAATGATAGTTCTTGTTAAAAATGACTTTTTTAAAATCTTAAAGTTGTTTCATTGAGTTGCCATTTATTAAAATTATGTTTTTCAAAAACATTTTCCTTTTGTAAACTTAATCCGGGGACATACCATATTTTTACTATTTTCGTCTTAACAAAAATCTGTTCTACATTTGGCCCCCATTATTTAATAAAACTTAAATCATCAACTCCAAGAAAGAAAAAAAGAAAACATTACATTAGAACAATTACAATTTAAAACCAACCTACTATGTTCATCACTGCAATTTAATTACCTTATTAAATTTATAATTATAAATTGGTAGGTTGGTGTTGAACTGTAATTGTTTTAATGTAATGTTTGTTTTGTTTTGTAAATTGTAGCTGATGATGGCATGGAACAGCTGCCGAAACGTTCTATATATTTTAAATTTAAGTTTTATTAAATAAAGGATCAGGAAGCCAGATGTAGAACAGATTTTTTTAACAGTACCTAATCAAGAGGATTTAAGCTAGCAACTTTATTTTCGTCTTTATTAGCAATTTTCTCAAGAATATTTGTCGTAGGACATGATTTTTTTTTATAAAATCAAAAATTGAAAAGTGCTTCATAAAAATTATAACTTCAAATTGATCCATTTATTCCAAATGCACTCCTCAGAAGACTCAGAAGAGTTCATAAAACGGTGTAGAAATACGAATACAATAAATAATTTAAAAAAAATGTGTATGAATGAATACAGTGTGTAACGAAAAGATTGGGAAAAAGAGTAGCGTGAGATTCAGATTCAGTTAAAATAAATAAAATAAATATCACGCCATTGAAATTATGATTTTTTTTGATTTTTTAATTGTTTAACTAATTGATAATAAATAGTTATTGTTAATTAACACAAACATATACAAAGAAACTAAAACCCATATTTTATACAATTTTAAAAACAACAGTAATAAATAGCCAACGTCCAAAATTTTTTACACGTTTACTTAAATTTTTTACTCTAAAACCAAGGCCGATACAAAAATTTTATAAGATTTAAAAACCCTTTAATTACGCCACTCGGATTACGTATAACATAAATTTGGCTAAAATGTGTTAAGTTATTGTTAAAAGGTAAGTACTTTACAATAATCATAAAGCATGTAGTTTTGATATCAAATTGCCTATATCACATATCATAAAAATCGATTACTCAATGGAGTAATGAAAGAATAAAATGAAAAAGTTATTAAAAAAAACGAAAATAATTTTTAAATTTTGGCTCCTAATGGAGATATTTTGAGTTATATCGCTTTGATTTGGGATTCTCATTTTTTCGTTACACCTTGTATATTGGGTTAGAGCAGAGACACTGGCCGTTGGCGTGGTGGTGCAGAGACATAAGGTTCGAGGTTCAAACCCCGATTAAGGTAGCAATTTTTCCCTAATTCTAATAAGCATAATAAGATAGTATAAAAACGTCAAAGCTTTGATGCTACACATATTTTCGAAAAATTGGACCAAATGAGGTGTTTGTACTTCCAGTGGACTTATTAGATACTCGAAACAAATGCATAAACCGTTGAAAATATGAAATTAAATAATTTAAAAATGTAATGAGTGGTTAAGAATTATTGAAGAATCAATAGGATCGAAATTTAAAAAAATCTTAGTGCCACAAATAGTCGAGATCTGGAGAAAAAAGAGCGTTCTGAATTAAGAAACTTAAACAAATGTAATGAAGTAGATATAATTTTAAAATTCTGGAAGAGCTCTTGGAAAAAATACATCTTTAATATCGCAATAAGAAGATTCACAAGTTGAAGAAAAAAATTAAGATTGTTGGTGTAGGTACTTTGTGAGATAAATAAGACTAAAAAGTTGTGTTTGATGCTTCCTTTTTGAACAAGTGTTTACAGTTTCGAAGAATGAACTTTTAGTGTTTGATCTCCGCTCCGCATGAACTGAATCAAACAGCTTCCCCTTTTAATCGAATTAAACTTGAAAACATCTGGACGTTTCGATGACTTATGCACTTGTTTTCGTTTGCAAGATGGAAAAACACCCGATATTTGCAAATCTAGTTCATGGTTCTAGTGGGGATTTTTACCGCAAAGGGTGTTTGTTGCATTTTTGTGAAAATGTGAATTGTTTGTGGCCACCACCGGCCGTTCTATTTATAGTAAGGATAAGACAACGCGTGACCTTTATGAAAGAAAACACAAGAGGTAGGCTGAAACAGGTGAATGTTGCGGTGTGATCAGACCTTGACGGGTAGATTTAGCATCGGCGCCATCTGTCCCGCGATCTCTAATGGCGATTTGGAATCGATCGCATCGATAATATTACGCAGTTAATGACTTCACTTTATGTAATTTATTGCAAGAAAGCCGGCGCCAGGAAACGCGTCTCTAGGTAGCAATCAAAGACGCGTCTCCGGTTCATGTACCTATCTCTTGCGTAATCGGGATCATCGACAGTTAACAGTTCTTTGTTCTTGTTTGTAAACACGGCATTCGCCTTGTCATCGGGCCCTTGAAAGTGAAAGCAAAGCTCCTAAACTATTTCGAGGATGCTTTCACCCGGACTTCATCCGGGTCACAAGAATAAGTGTTGATTTCCAGGGAAATAACCCTCACACCACACACGAAAGAATCACTAATAACTGTATTTACAACGTGCGAGGATAACGGTCGTCAAGGCTTCTTTTTATTTATTGTTTGCGAAAAGTGCAGTATTATTTAAATAAATCGTGACCTAGTTTGTTAACATTTTCATCTCAAAGCGGAGCATCGTGGTGGAGTGACGCCAAGAAAATTTCCTCGGACCTTGAACGACTATTACTACACATGGATCCAATTGAAACGATTAAATCATTAGTTTTAATCGACGACTGAAACAAATACCTCAAGGTACCCCAACAGGGGACTCTTCATCGCGTTGGAAATTAACAAGATGCGACAAACAAAGATTTCAAAATCTGAAACCCTTAAGCAAAGAATCGAAAATTGAGAAACCAAACATGATAAAGAAAAAAACTCATCCAGATTTTGAATTTTTCGTCTTTGTTTTTGTCCTTTTTGATTTTATGAAATTGAAGAATATTTGAAGGGAATTTTAATGAAACATACACATATTGAGAAACCTGGGAAAAACGTATGTTTTTGAATATTTAATAAGAATTTGAATGTGTTAATGAAAAAATGGCTGTTTTATCAAGATCTTGATTTTTTAAATTCTAATCACATAAAATTAAGAATTTCTGAAGAAAAAAATCCTTTTATAAAAATAGTAGAAATATTTGTGGAAAAGTATCTTTCAAACCCTATACTAAAAAAACAACGTTTTTATTAAGACCTCAGCATGTATTAAATTTTTACAGAATTTTCGAAATTGTCAGTGATTTTATGTTATATCCAACGTTTCATTTACATCACTGTTTCTAGAAAAACTGAAGTAAAAAATCAAAACTCAAACCCCAGGCTCAAATTAATTTTAATTTTGTTATTACTTATTTTTTTGTTTATTTGTACTCGACGTTTAAGAGTGCTTTTATCAACTAATTTCAGAAGATAAAGTAGCCTTTTATCGTCTAGTGAAATAAAGTAATTTTATCTACTGTTTTTATCCTTGTACAAGAAATTCTGGTAGGTGAGTACAAAATAAAACGAAATATAATACACGACGATAAAGATTGTTTATCTACTGAAAAAAAGTCCACTCGTAACTTCGTCACTCGTAAACTTAACCTTTTCACTCGTAGATAAACAATTTCGTTATCGTCTTATATAATAAATAACTATTTTTCCTTATTTATTATATTCCAGGATTTTTAAAGCTTTATTGAGTATTTTATTGCTTTTTTATCATTTATGGATTTTATAAATGCAAATATTATTATTTACTTCAAGATCTTTACATTTTTACAAGACATTAACACGACTTGGATCTTAAATTAAAAAAAAAAATATTTCTGTGACATATTTTGATTATTACTTGTTTTTTTGTTATTTTTTATTCACCGTTTTTCAGGATTTTTAACACTTTTCAAGATTTTTACATTTTCATAAGATTAGAGCAAAATTCGGGTTTTCAGTTAAAACAAATTAATTTTTCTCTGATATATGTGTTTTGATTACATATTATTTGTTTTTTTATTAACGTTGTTGGGACTTTTATTGACTTCTTTTATTGGATTCTTCTCAGTTATCGACTTAATATTTTCAAACATATTTCACAACAATTTGAGTTAAAACAATTCAATAGTTCTGATTATTACTTTTTTCTTTTCTGGAGATATCGTTTTCAAGGATTTTTAAAGCGCTTGGTAAAATCCTTATCAGTTATCAACTTTAGTTTTTCAAATATTAATAATTCCTTCGAAATTTGAGAGAATTTGAAAGTTAAAGGGAAAAAAACTCATCCGGATTTTGAGTTTTTCATCTTTGTTTTGCCCTTTTTGTTTAGGAAAAAATAATCAAGAAATTATGATAATTGAAGAATATTTGAAAACTAAACAAAAGGATCGCATTTTGAAGAACAAAGAGAAAAACTTATTTTTGAGAGTGAGTAAATTTATATGTATCAGATATTTGATAAGAATATGAATTTTTTAAACAGAAAATTGGTCATCATTATCATTTTCTTGATTTTTTAAATTCCAATCACATAACAATCAAAAGCTTGCAAAAAAAATCAAAAACAGTGGAGATATTTGTGAAAAAGTATCGTTCAAAGGCTTTTTCAAAATTTATGAATTTCCTATTGATTTTATAGTGAATTTATATCCAACATATTTAATGCCGTTTCTAAAGATATTGAAATAAAAAATCTAAATTCGAATTCAAAACCACATAAACAAAAACAGAAACTCAGATTAATTTAAACTATACATATTGTTAACTATTGTTACTTTGTTTTTTCCCTTATCTATTATTTCTCTGGATTTTTAAAGCTTATATTGACTATTGACTTTTTTCATTTTTCGATTTTATAATTGCAATATTAATATTTACTTCAGGATCTTTACATTTTTACAAGTATTGCCAAAATTTGGATATTGAATTAAAAAATTTCAAAATTTCTATGATGTATTTTGATTACTTTTTTTTTGTTTTTTTTTTCTTCAGCCTTTTCCAGGATTTTTATATTGAATTTGAATTAATTTTGTCATTTACTTCAAGATCTTTACATTTTCATAAGATTTTAGTAAAATGTGTGTTTTAAGTCATAAGAATTGAATACTTAATATTGTATTTTAATTTTTTTTTGTTTTTTTCGGTATCGTTCTTGGGATTTTTAAAGCTTTCTTTGATTTATTTTACTGAATTTTCAATTTCAAATATTAATATTTACTTCAAGATCTTTCTTCTTTCATAAAATTTTAATAAGATTTGGGTTTTGCGTAAAAAAATTCTACATTTTCATGAGTTTGAGTTAAAAAATCATTTTTATCTTAAATTCTTGACTTGTTGGTCAAGATCTTAACACCACTTCCCACTCATTGACTCTTGGTTATTTCATAAAACTGACATTCGATTTTTTAAATCTTCAGTATAAAGTTTAAATGAACTTAATTTGACTAAACTGCAACTTTCGATCAAGAAAAAGCAAATTGCAGGAATTAATAAGTCAATTAATAAATAAGGCCCATAAAACGTTGATTGGCGGTGGTGAAAGCATTGCAAATATTGATACAAGGCTTAGAAGAGAAAGTGAATTGACCAAATCGAAAAAATCCAAAAGGCCACAAGTTGAAACCGCAAAGTTCAGCCAACGGAAATGAGTGTTTTGGAATCCTCCTTGCGGCGTTTTCTAAATTTTCGCCAACCTTGCGATGATTTCAAACCTTGGACCTCCGTGAAACGTGAAAGTCGCACTCATTGTCTCATCTAATGAGTATGCAATGTCCCAAGTTGTCACAATCACCGATCCACTTAACCGGATATCCGTAAAATTCACGGGTCACGTGTTTCCCACAAAACCGAGGGTGCTGTTCCAACTTTATTATTTAATCAATACTCGCGCCCCAAGATCAACGTTCGGCGAGTTTCATTGATAAAAACAAAGGTCGCATACTTGGCTATCACCAGACAATGACATCGACTTGTATTCCCAAAGTTGCTAGCGTGTCAAATCGATCAAAATGCAATAAGTGTGATGCGGTTTTGTGTATACACAGCGACCTTCTCTACATTGTAATCAGTTATATAAGAGAGAAAAGTCGATCCGACTAAATAAGATTAGATCCATGAGCTACTTTTTACACAAGTGGGGAAAGTCACCAAATCAATAGGAATCAAAAAGGGTCCAAATCTAGGTTTGAAGGTTACTACAAACGTGACAATATTTAATTGGCCCATTTGGGTCACTTTGATCTCCATTCTAGCAAAAATAGTCACACTTGTAAACAAGTGGAGTCCTTTTCCCGAGAGCATTGTCCTCAAGCGACGCAAAATTTCGGCGAGTCACTAGAACAATAACACTAACTGTTTACAGGAAACCCAATGAAAAAAAAGTTGCGAAAATTGTACTGCAAGTCCAATTTCTTATCAACTTGTTTTGCTCGTTGTTTTTGAATGGATTTTTCTCGGTTGGCGTGATATAAGAGCTTACATAAGGAAACTTTCCATTTGTTTCCAATTTTGGTCTTCCTGCGACGTTGTTGGGCAAAAAGTCCTTCACTAATCAATTCGCTTTGGTCAATAGAGAAGGTCGACGCCACTACTCCACCTAATTACTCCAATAATGACAAACACTCTTAAAAGTCAATTATCATAATGAGTTTGTTTTTTCGATGATAATTGGCGTACCGCAGGGGTCCGTCTCAGTCCCCGTGTTAGTCGGGACCCAACTTTCGACTTTTTTTTCTGATCTACTGACCTTAAACTTATTGTGTAATAGACTCACCTTATTTGAGCACAAGTGTGGAAAAGCGGCTTTTGCACAGTCACTAAACTTTGGATTTTCACTATGGGGGTGGCAAAAACACTGAAAAACTCGCGTGAACGCAGCGGTTTCGAAGTGTTGACTGGGGAGCTGTGGCGACCTCACCGGTATATATCGCTCTGGCGACTGCAAGACACACCAACATGGGCAACACGAACAGGTGCATCGAGTGGGGAGGAACCCTCTTGGGCTTTGCCAAGAGGTGTTTGTCGCTCTTATCAGCATCGTCCCTTGTGGAAAATTCTTATCTCGATTTGGTTTTACGACTGTTTATCTTTGACTTTTCTTCAGAGTCGTAAACAGTCCGAAAATGGTCAATTTTTAGTGACGCACTTGATTTATGAACTGCGGAAAAGAGCGGGTTTATTTCTTATCACGTGATTTGCTTATTTACATTTGAAAGTAATATTTTTGCGATAAAATTTGCAACAAACAATGCTGGCAACGTTACACTTGACAAGAGTTGTTTTTATCACACCTACAACTTGCTAATCGATATTTTTCATTACGATTCTTGACGCGTTAAAATATGGTACAATTATGAAGGCTAAAAAGGCTTTCGACATCTACTGCTGAAGTGCGAACAATAGATAATTGATATTTATTTATTAAAGCAGTGAAAGTTTTGAAATATTTATCAGCTTGTTGCTGTTTGAATAAATTAAATTATAAGCTTTCAAAGCTGATTAAATGATTTTTATCTCTAATCCTACACAGAAATAAAAGCCCAGGTTTACAAAACGTTCTTATTTATTGATTTATTTCGTCAGTGTGATTAGGTGTAAAAAATAATATTATTAGTTTCTTGCAAAACCTGTTTTAATAAAACAAATTAAAAAGAAGTAATTAAAAATTACCGAAATTTTGAATAAAGTAATGCAATAGTAATATTGAAAAAAAATACAAGTTTTGATGTATTCCGTATTTCTTTTGGCTTTTTTTTTGATTTTTTAAATTCTTTGTTTTGTTTTTCGTTTCTGTGTCATTATAATAATAGGTACACCTCCGTTTTATGATTTTTAGTTTTATGTTTTATGGTTTTTTATACAAAAAATGTTAAAAAAACTAAAGATGCATGTAATTTTTTTAACTATTCACCCTTTTTTGGAATATTTTCTTCATTTTTTCCTTCTCCAATATTTCTGTCTTCATTCGTTTGATAACTTTAAACATCTCTTCGTCAATATTCGTTTTTTATACTTTCGTGTTTTTTATGCTTTCTTTTTACTTATTTTTATAATTTTTTTTATTTTTCTGACATAAATTTTCAGCTTTGTATTTTTTATTTTGTCTATTTTAAATTATAAACGACGTATAATTTCATCAATACTTCATTTCTCCAATATTTTTGTCTTTCTACTTTCTTTTTTTTAATATTTGTTTTTTATACTTGTCTTTTTCTTTTTTTTGCTTTTAACATTTTTGTCTTTTTTATATTTATTTTTTCATTCTGTTTAAAATATTTCTTTGTCTTAGTTACATTTTTGTACATTTGTCAAAAATGTACATTTTGAACTTTTGTGTTTTTATGCTTTCTTTTTACTRATTTTTATAATTTTTTTTATTTTTCTGACATAAATTTTCAGCTTTGTATTTTTTATTTTGTCTATTTTAAATTATAAACGACGTATAATTTCATCAATACTTCATTTCTCCAATATTTTTGTCTTTCTACTTTCTTTTTTTTAATATTTGTTTTTTATACTTGTCTTTTTCTTTTTTTTGCTTTTAACATTTTTGTCTTTTTTATATTTATTTTTTCATTCTGTTTAAAATATTTCTTTGTCTTAGTTACATTTTTGTATATTTTTCAAAAATGTACATTCTGATATTTTGTGTTTTATGCTTTCTTTTTACTCATTTTTATAATTTTTTTTCTTAGATTTCTGACAAATTTTTAGCTTTGTATTTTTTTATTCTGTCTATTTTAAATTTTAAATTCTAAACGACGTATCTATTTTTGTATATTTTTCAAAAATGTACATTCTGAACTTATTATTTCTCACATATTTTTTATGTTATCAAAATGTTCTCTTTTCTCAAATTATCTTCTTATTTTTTTTTGTTTGTTTTGCTTCTTCATGTTTCATAATCTTTCAAATTTGCTTATTAAATAAATCGTTTTGTTTTATTTTTTAATTTTTTTGCTTTAGTCTCTGTCTTTGAACTTATTATATTTTATTTTTATAAAAATAAACATGTTTCATCATAAATTGTGACATTAATCAATACTCACTTACTATAGTTTAATTGAGGAAAGTATTTTTTTCTTTTAACCTTTTATGTGTTTATGTAACAGTTTTAAGAAATAATAACAATGTTTTTATGAAATTTCACTTAGCTAACGACAAAACTTTTGTCATGTTTCAGTTTTTTTGTTATTTATTTAATTTAAATTACACCAATTTTTTTGACAGATTGTCGGCTACACCCTCAAGCAAACAAACTCCCCTAGTCTCAATCATCTGGATGTTGTAAAGAAAAAATGTGAAATATTCCATTATTTACTTCTGAAGTGAAGTTCAATATTCCATAAATGTGTTAATAGTTACCTACTTTAAATTCATTCATTCCTGCATTTTGCTCGTTTACGACCCTAAAGAACGCAATTTTTGCGCCAAATCAGGGTAGTTTATACCTACCTACAAATTTTTGGGGGAGTTTGCAATGAAAGAAAATTGTTTGAAAGTTTCACCCTCTGTACCACCCTATGCCTAGCATTTAGTTACGTTCACACATTCCCTTATATCATAAATTCAAAGTGCTTCTGAAAACCGTCCATTATCAAAATTACCGACGTAATTCACGTCTCCTTTGTTTGAGCAAGTTGCGCATTAAATTACCCAAACTTGAAAATTACACAATTCCACAAAACTGTTCTCATTCATTGTCCTATATTGAGCTCAATAAATTTTGATTACAATTGTACGTAAGTAATCTCTCAAGTAGACACGCATTGTGTAAATATTAAACTCGCACCTGAAAGCTTAGTAAATATTGATCTATTCTCAAATTTAAACACAATCGAATTAAATATAGAACTCGATTAGAGCGAGTGAATCATTAACGGATTGTGTTACACAGGAAAAACCTGGAAATTCCATTGAAAGAGAGTTGAGAGAGCAAGCACCAAAGGCAATTTCCCTATTGTTAATTGTTGCTTTATCGGAATCGTTTAAATTATCAGAGAACATGGGGAAAAGAGAAAACACGAAATTTTTGCCTCATGAATGGTCGAAATTTGTGTATTTCTGAACAGGATTCCACACTTTTGACGCGTCAAAATACGTAGCAATTTCTTATCATTACTCCATGATCGTATCATTTTTACGTGATTTATGCGTGACCTTTTATCAAATTTTGACAAATTTCGGATGCTGCAAAGGTCAAGGCTATTTCTGTCAGATGATAAAATAATTAATGTCACTGATAGCTGCATTGTTGTTGTTTTCTTATTTTGCGAAAACACTGATACGGTTCTTTGCTGAATCCTGATTGGAGATTAGCATTTCTAACAGTCCTGGATTTTGATCCTCTTACCGCTCCCATGTAATTAAGCAAATTACATAAATAATAAGAGTCAATCCGGCCAGGTTTACCGGACAAAGACACACAGGTAGACAAAAGAATACACCAGCAGTGACTCACCCGACCACATCTTTGATAAAATCCCTTTTTTCGGGGAAAATTAATCAGAGTGAGAGTGAGAATTGTTGTTATTAATCTCGTAATGGTCCCAGACTTTGAGTACACAAATCTCGTGGGAACTTCTCGGCGGTGGTAATTGAAGCGCAAACATGCAGAAGGGTCTCGCTTGTAAAAATTTGCATTTATTTGGGGCAATAAGTCACGTTTGATTTTTCTGCGAATTGACCGAGAAAATTAGGTACAAAACACGTGATGTAACAGTTGCAACGATTACGAAATTTAGAATTAATTACCCTTTTATTATGCTTGACAGTACACGTGATATTGGCAATTCAAGGTGATTTTGAAAGGACTTGCATGCGACTTTTAGTTCGTCTTCGTTCTTTATTACTAACAAGCAGTAGGGCAGAGGCCGAAATTTCGGGTTCTTTTTCCGATTCTTTAAGTGATCTCGTTGAAAGTTGGCGAATTTTTGAACGTTGTTTCTTTTTATTACTAAGATTTGAAGCTGTTGGTTTGTCTTTTGTTATACTTCCAGTTGAAGCCAAACTGCCGGGAGGGGAAGTCCGAATTTGGACTTTGAGGCTTTTCTCTGAAATATTCCCAGGTGAGGAAGTTGGAATTTCACCTTCTTCTGCCAAACTGCCAAGTGGGGAATCCCGAATTTGGTTTGAAGGTGTTGGTTTATTGTCTTTTGTTATAGTTTCACCTGAGGCCAAACTGCCGGGTTCTTTTTCCGATTCTTTAAGTGATCTCGATGAAAGTTGGTGAATTTTTGAACCTTGTTTCTTTTTATTACTAAGATTTGAAGCTGTTGGTTTGT